GCTTCAATATTCCCTGTAATTTCAGAACGATAGTAAGGATGAACAATAGCTAGCAGTGGAATCCGGTAAAAGCGTTCGAAGCAATCTATCTTGGTCGGTGAGAAGAGCATCAAACCCTGGTAGGTATGTACCTCCGGCTGATGAGCCTGAAATATAACAAAATGAGGGTTCTGGATTTCCCTGCTAACCGCTTTTCATCATTGTGCAATCGAATTGATGGTGTACAAGTTGAATGATAACAAAACGTAGTTGCATAACATTCTGAAATCCCTAATAGGATACATATGACTAAGACAAGGTGCTAAGAAATCAACAGAAATCATAACAAACAAAATATTAGGTTGTATGAAGTATTATCGCTGATTTGAATCCCACCACCATCCAGTAAGCAATAAGTTTGTTTTTACTTTTTATATTTTCTTTGTGCTTTGAAGTTTCTTTAGCGACTGGATTGGTTTTATGGAGCAGGGTTACTAGGCATATGCCCAACCTTCCCTAATTATCCGGTCCTAGGACCGGCTATTAACTAGTGAACTAGTTAACCAGGCGAGGTTTGTCAACAGGCATAAGATAGTAGGTTATACAAGGACGAACGGGGTCAGTCAGATTAACAGAACATAGAGACGTAACTTAGTCTAGATTGATAGACTTCTAACTAGATTAGTAATCTACAGAGGAACTCAGTAATAGCTATGCATTTCATAACACACAAGCATACAATAGGATAGGACAGAGTTACTGTCTTGGAGACTAAAGTAGTTAAATGGAGAGAGAAGTTGGTCAGTTAATCTATGTTCACCAGTTCAACGCTTTACATGCATAATCGAAATGTCAAGAAGTAACGAAAATTTTATTTTTTTGAGGAGGTTGTGGAGATTTGGAAATAATTCAAGTCGTTATTCATCATAGACTGACATCAGTTGGAGGAACAAAGGAAACCTAGGTGCACTGGATAGTTGTTACGTCCGATTAGTATGGGACTCCTCAGCAGTGTGCACCCACGGCCAGCGCGTTACCATTGAGCCACTGGGTCAGAATCCAATGGTCCATATTTCCAACTTCTGTTAGCTCACGATATAGCGCAACCGCCACTCAATGGCATCTTTGCGTAACTGTCCTCACGACCATCAGGCTTTGCCCCCACTGGTCAGTCTATTATGCATCGAAATCAAATTATGAAGAACAATAGAACTATAAAAACTAGACCAGAGAGTTTAAGTAAACTGTGTTGGTATCATTATGAGCAGTTAATTCTGCTCAAAACGTCGTCTAATAAGTAATACTATACTACTGTATACTATATCAACTAGACTAATCTAATATGGAACTGCATTCTACCAAAGTGCCTATATTCCATACTTAGACTATAGATAAAAGATCTCTCTTCGAACGCTTCAGTGATTCCTACCATTCTGCTAACCAAACTAATGATTTTAACGTTGATTCCTGAGTCCATTCAAATATTACGCTTTTTTCTTTGCTTTAAACTTCCAATGGTAACACAGATCTTGGTTACTCATGAACTGGAGCCTATCTGTTGTACGAAACGCATAGATGTACAATTTTTTTACTTTTAAGTTAACCTTAACTTCATTTCGTCATATTTTGCTTTACGATGTTTCCTCTTTGTTAGACTAAGCTTCACACTTTTCTGTCATCAACGGTTTTACTTCCTATTTTACATTCATTAGTTTCCGGTGTTTATTCATTGAATCTTCTCAATAATTTCAAATTTTAACAAAATATTTTCATTTTATTTGTCTCGTTCAAATTAATTATCATTTTGACTATCTAAGATAGCTGTCGTTTGACAGACTTATACTGATGCTGGGTTATAATTGAAGGTGAAATGAAAACTTATACCACAGCCGGATTCCAACTAGCAACCATTAGCTATCCGGTCACGTACTGTACCAACTGAGCTACGAGGCCCGACCACAGACCACACTTTTAACTCACTTCAATCATCAAAGTGGGTTTTGCCTGACTACCATATGAGTTCATGATGGGTTACTATCGCTAGGTTCGTACTCACACTTTATACCTGCAGTTAGGACATCTCATCTCAATCTAAATGTAACTGAATTAGAGAAGATGAGCATTATATTTCTTTTATCATTTTTGAATATCTGAGATAGCTGTGGTTTGGTGGACTTGTAATGATACTGAATGATGACTGAAGGCAAGATGAAAATTTGGATGGCGGTAGGATTCGAACCAGCAACCTCACTAACATTAGTTGTGACGTCTTTCCACGCTTTTGTAAGCTATATGCCTAAAGTTCTTAAGTAGCCCATTTTGTAATCATTCAACCCCTTCACCTTAAGCCAAAAACAAACATTAATGTAATTTCTAATATTCTTCACTTGAATTACATGGTTCTCAGAAGACTAGAGAATTCAAACAAACAAATTCGCTGTCAAGAGCCTTTTTTTCCCTGATTTGTTGGTTTTGAAGATATTTTCTACATATTTATTGCATAGTACATCACTAACTCTCCTACTCTTGCTCATTATATAACGCCTCTGAAATGTTACTCATCATTCATGTACTTTCGATTTTCGGACTTTCAAGTCTTCTTTTCGTAAAATTATTATTACTAAATGTAATTGCTATGTTTGTTAAACCACCGGCTTATGTTCCTCTCTTCTTCTTCTTCTACTTTTTCTTCATTCCCACTCGAGATCCACATGCTAGCTGAGTGAACTGCCATCGCCTAACTTACACACACACACACATATCTGTACTCCCTCCTGCGACAACGTACTCCTGGGCTGTATGAAAACCTACCAACTTCTGATCTTAACGATCACACTTTGTTGTCACACATAAATACATTCGAAACAGAATTCTATTGACCGTGATGTGATGAATCATATCTAGTATATGAGGATTAAAGACATAACCTGACCTCCCAGACATCAGTAATTGGAATGAGTGAGAGTGAAACGTACGACGGTATGATTAAAATCCAAGCCTCCTCACTAGTGAACCAACATTCCATTAACCGTAATGCAGAGATAAGCATCTTGATTAAATATCTAATACTGACAGTATGAACGTAGGAAACTGATAGCTTTTGATCTCTCGTGTCTAGTTCTTAGGGTTGTTCGGTTCGCTGCTTCAATGGACAAAGAAGTCTCTTCTGCTTTCTAGCTTTCAGCTTTGTGGGTTAGTAATTGCAGTTTGTAGAGTGATTGGAGGGCGACGGGTAGCTAAGAAGATTAGGAGTATGTCTTGATTCTTGTCTGTGTAGGTGCTGAATAGGAATAGTAAGATGGTGAGAAAAAATTATGAGGGAATTACCCAGAAGGTAAAAGTAGATAGTGTAGGTATAGTTGTTAGAGAAGAGTAAGTAGATAATGTAGGTGTATTAAGAGGGTAAGTGGCAGTTAGAAGGGAAGTGATGGTGAGCTAGCGAGGTTAGTGACTCTCTACATACACCCGTGGTAAACCATGCGAAGTTTCATAAAGCACATACTCTCAAGGAGAAAAAGTTGCGTCTGAGCGTGACGTGAACTCTCTCATGTGCTATGCTAATGGGGTTTCCTCGTGATGACCGCTGTTTTCCACGCAAGGTTAATGTATTTGCGTAGTTTGCCTGATGGATAATCTTGTAGGCTATAATAAGATCACCACGCTTTCTGCTATAACCCAAGATAAATAGGTTTAGATGTTTTACTCTTTCAGGGTATGCCTTCCTGCTTACCCCCACAACTGAGTTTGTTGCAGATCTTTGTATTTTTTTCAAGGAGATTAGAGTGTCTCTTGAGTGTTGGGGGAGCCACCTTATCGAAGACCTCTAGATGCAGCCGTACGTAGGATTCGAAAACTGTGAGAAAACGTTCTGAGGTGAGGGCAGCAAGTTGTCTGCGCAGAAAGTGCAAAGTGGCGTTTGCTCTGACTGCCATGTCTTTGTAGTTGGAGCTGGTGTTCAAGGTGTCGAAGGAGTTGAGCCCCGAATCTTTCTCCATGGATACTCGGGCAATAGAACGGTTGCTCAACATATACTTAAATTCGGCCATCCTTGTTTCATATTTACTGATGTGCATCGCTTTGCACTTCTCTATGTTGAAGCTCAAGCCATTTTCCGACAACCAGAGTTCACGTTGATACAGGTCACTTTGGATTACTGTACACTCAGCCCCTTCGTTTACCACTCTACAAATTTTGATATCGTCACCAAACAGGAGAATGGGTGGAAAAATTTTGTAAACCAGATCGTTGACGAACTCGAGGAAAAGAAGTGGTCCTAGGATTGCTCCTTGGGATACTCCTGATGTTGATAGTCTCCACTCCGACTATATTCTGTTTACCATTGGTGCAGAACTGTCTGCCTTCTAAGTACTCGTTGAACCAAGAGAGTAGGGGTCCACTTATACTGGCTGACAGGATTGTAGACAGAACACAGTCAAATACTTTGGTTATGTCGATAAAAACAACATATACCGGTTTTCTGTTGTTCCAACTATGTAACTAGTCATCCTTGCAGTTAGCAAATTGATGACACATGAATAACCATTCCAAAGCCACACTAAACAGTATATACTGTTAATGAACAACTTGAGTACTTAAAAATCATTCAAGATAACCTGCAGTATTTCACCAGCCAGATTAGAATGATTTCAGCTTTGAACTGTTATTTTGCTTCTTTACTGATAAGCGCATCAGCTATGTATCTGGATAAATTCAACTCCTACACCGTAACTAGTTCAGATTACTTGAATCCAATCCATTCAAGTCAACCAGCTAATTTAGCTTAATGAACTGAATTTGTTGAGTACACAGTTGATTAACTCTGCTCTAAACAAACGAAACAGTAGTTCGACTTTCATACTGGTGATAGTAGGAATACACATTTGATTTCATCATTCAATAAAAGCTTATTTGTCATATTGTTTACCTACCACAATGGTAACATTTTTCTTGTTTATTTGTCAAATATTTCTCTAAATAAAATTGAACAAAATAAACAAACTTGTACACTTATAAAAACTCACTTTATCTTGTAATCCAAAGAGAATATCATTGAACCTTCGCGGCATACTTTTAAATGAATATGTTCGATGACATTGATTCAATCTATTTTACCGTTATGAGTAAATAAATACAAAAGAAGACGACAAGAGTAATGACAAGCTGACCCACAGTATATATATATATATATATATATATATATATATATATATATATATATATTTATAAATTGTTCACTGACAATTTTTGAAAAAACCGAAAGAACACTTTAAATAATATCTGTTTGACAGAAGACATATAAGGCATATAATATCATTTTTCAATGGAAGAAGGAATAAGACAAAATCTCTAGCGATAGTTTATCTCAGAGTTCCTTACTACCTCTATCTTACAGTGAACTAGGTATGTAGCTACGGTTAAAATTGGTCATCTTTGTGAGGCCGTAGTGTTCTTAAAGCTGGATGACATAATTCTTAGGCTTTTTTGGCCATGACTGTGATGATGATGATGATGATGATGATTAGTTTTTGTTACTGAAAGCCATAAGATAAAAACCTATCATATCAGAAAACCTAGACTCTAGTCGAAGATTATGCCTTCATCTGAGAGACAGAACACCAATAGTTTTGAGTTTTCATAGTTAACCACCTTCATATTTTGATATGCTTACCTTCTGGAACCTTGAATATGATAAGTTGATTGTAACTTGTATCCGTTTCCTCTAACCTAAAAAATTATTCATGTTTTATTTCAAATTCTTTTATAAGCTATACAACAGTAGCAGAGTCAAGCAGTTACCGCCATCATTGAAATTCAGTGTACGTTACTGTTCAGGTAGCGAAAAATAATACACAAGGCTTAAACTACGTTTATCATCCTCAAACTTTATTTTAAATATTCCCGATAAAGGGAACAGTTGAAATTCAAAAGTTAGTGACTTTTTCATCATGCTATTTCCGAAAGACAAATAAAGTTAATCTTCGGTTGTCTTCAAGGTCACCAAATGTCTAATCACTTCCATTTCTTGTAGAGATTCGCATCCTTTAAATGTTCCACTCCGTTCATTGAAACTATCTAGTGACTGGCTTAGATATGTCTCCGAAGGTGATCTTTAGAACTCTTCGTCTTTTGCCAGTCAACAAACAATAAGTTGTATAACTAGAAACTAATGATTACTGATGCTACATGTTGAAAGCCAAATAGAAAAAAGATGGCCGCAGAAGAGAAAATATTTTTCCTTCAAATGAACTTGTTATCAAAGTTGCTTGAATTTACAAACACGCAGCAAGAGTGGAGTGATATACCATTGCTGAATAATTTCCGGTCAGTAATCAAAGTATACAGAATAACAAAAAGGAAGTCACGTAATATAAATAAAAACTTATTACAGCAAAATAAACAGTAAAAATAAAGTAGAATTATTGACTTTACATGTTGATAACAGCAAAAGGAAAGGTTGTAAGCGCATGTTTTTAACACATAATGATTACCAGAACTCTAGAACTTCAAACACATTTTCCACATTCACACTGGCTTACCCCATTCACCTACTGAATAGCTTGATCTCAACTCTATGAAAGACTTCTAAAAGGGTTCTAAATTAGATCTATATTCCGAGAATTCATGAAGCTTATTGTCACACAGCTTGATATTCCTCACAACTGAGTAGTTTTTCAAATTGTCAGACGTGGCTTCAGCAGAGTTTCTGCTGGGAACCACTCTACAATCAAGACCACAGTGTGTGATGCTCGACAAAAAAGTGTCATAACTTAGCAGAACATACTATCATTGAACAATTTGAGTAGACAGAAACTACTCAAGTTGACCTGTAGATTTCACCAGTCAAAATAGAGTGATCTAAGTACCAGACTGTTGTTTCGCTTGTTTCCAGACGATCACATCAATGGTGTACTGGAAAAATTTGTCTCCACTAATTAAGTATGGCTTTGCCGCTTATAAATTTGACATTCGATAATAAAGTCTCCTTTGAGGTTAAATTTCTGCGTCTAATCAAGTCGTGGTAACTTTCACCTTCTGACATCTAATGCTGCCAGGAGTTTCAGTAACCAATTAGACATCAGTATGAAAACAGACGTTTGTCTGAGATAAATACTTGAATTCTACGATAACTAGTTGGCTTCACCAGTAACTTCTATCCAGTGTCACATGCAAAAGCGAAAGAAAATCACTTAGTTGGCTTAATCGTGAAACTTTCATTGTTTTTCTAGATAAAATCGTCAGTACTAACTTCACTATGATTGAATCAGTTGCCTGCTGTGATGAAATGCTTTGTCATTAAATGTATACATTTTCCTTGTTGGTTGTTTCTGTGTCTGTCTAACCTTTGATGGTATTGCTTGTCGTTTTTCTTACGGATTGATAGATTATACTTATATATACATATCTGTTGATCGCTGACTGGCTTGAATGGTATGCTACTAAGAATCCCTTGATATTCTTCTTGCTTCCGCTGTACACAGTGAATAAATGTGAGCATCACAATGTCAACGTTGTCAATAACATTTGGTCTTGAAGAGTTATTTCTCCTTTTGGACTCTTGGAAGATATTTGAACAGGTTTTCTTGTCAAAATCTTCTGTGCATTACCTGTATCGATCTTTATCAAAGTCCATCTAGCTCTCAGAACCGTTTCATTACAGTGATTATACAAATCAAGTAGACATATACAGTTAAAGCAAAGATATAATTACTCAGCTTTGTCTCATTGACTACAACATGTACAAACCACCCAAACAATGGAAGTAATAACTCGAAAGCTAGACAAAAGATGTGAGTAAATAATCTTGCATTGGTTTCATCCATAACAAAAAGGAACACAGCTGTCGCGTGGTAGTGGACGTTAAGTTGACCCAATTGGACTCCAAGTTACCCTGACACTCGTGTATGTGAGATAGCCAATTAGGCTATCCTCAGTAATTCCTTTTCGAGACTTCCAATCAAAACAAACTCTAAATCTGGTTATGAATGCTAGTTGATCCCAAATCTCGACTTTTTATTCTGTAGACTTGCAGAATGATGAAGTTGTTTCACTGTTTTATCCTAGAAACGTACACTATTTAACTTTGAGGTTTATTTTTTGCCCCACAGGAGTTAATGACCAAGGAGTAACCAACATGACTGCCTAATGTCTAGTTCTCTTCGTAGTGAGTCTTAGTAAGCAGAAAAGTGAAGTCTAAAATGAATAACATACCTTTCATCAACTTTACAAATGTCATACGCACCGGGAAGAAGCCATAGTCCATGATTATTGTCATCCAGTTTTGGATATTCCTTTAGTCTACCAGTATTCTTGAAACCATAGCTAAGTGGATGTTGTATAACTAATCGTTTCACATAATAATGTGTAGGACTTGGACTGTTCTAAATTAATTGATAGAAAGATTTTGTTTAAAATAACAAAACCGCTGAAAGTTAAACCTGATTCTTTTAAAAATTTGGCGCCAAATTAAATAGCGGAAAATATAAAGTTAATGTTTAGACTAAAAGAAAAATGCTTAATCATGCATAAATTAGTTCATTCATTCTCTTTTATTCATTGTTTACCGTGTTGTAATTACGCTTAAAACTGAACAGAATGTATATACAATACAAGAAAAGGATTTTCAGTTCATTATTTATGCAACATTGACGTTACTAGCTAAGATCTTAAGATAACTGAACTGAGTAAATTAGCAGATTCATGAAAGTGAAGATTGTTGACAATCATATCTATTCTTCACTACTTCCACTTATTTACCTTTTCTTATAGCTCCTATTACTATCAGTTTGATCTTGCTTTTTACTTTACACTATCATTCAACTTCTTCAAATCTTCGATGGAGCATTAGTTGCATCAGGGTTGTAGACATGCCTTGCTGACTGTTTATTAGTCGCCTTTAACCAATCAACATCTATCCAGCTTCTTATACAACTATTATGTCACTTATTCAGGATGATATAATTTAGTTTGAACATCCACTCTTACCATTTACTTTACAACCAATCCTATAAAAACTGCTCACTTTGTTACCATATCTCAGTTTGTGCTATGTATGTAGATCTGTTTACCTGTATCACCTTATGGTGTATTGCACCTAGTATGTGGAGTATTTTCTTAACAAGAGCTACTGAAATCTTATGAATCCAACAAATCCTACTTTTTTGTATACTACAGCCACTATAGGAGTTTTGTTTGTGGCGCAAATTGCTCCATAGCAATGTTTCTAAGTACAGCAATGAAAGACAAGGATTTTCATACTTTAGAGGTATCAGATTACTTGAGGTTGCAGATACACCTTTCTGACGAGTGTCAACATGTGCAAAACAACAGTCATTTCTTTTCTAATTTCAACGAAATTGTTATTTCAGATAAGAAACTTTGTTTAACAACTATATGCAAGCCATTTGCTTTTCCATTGACACCTTTCTACGACTAGGTTTATCATAGTTAGTTGCAGGCGATCAACAGGAAGCTTTACTCTACCTAAGTTATGAGCTTTTTATGACACTTGTTAAAAAGACGTACCCACAACCTCAAGAGAAGGGAATTCATTTCATGGATACTATCCCATGTCACTCAGAGCTGCCATCAGCGATGTCACCACTTTGTCAGTCAGGATGTGATTGGCTTCTTCAAAGACTAAATCAGATATACTAATTGGTTCAAGAAGAACAACCCATTTCATGTTATCTTGTCTTGAAGGCTGACCGACTTTTATCAACCATTTTTGCAATCTGGTTACCGATCTGATAACTTCATACTCTTCATTCAATTTGTTCAGAGACACATCCAACGTCTGTAGTCTAGCTTTTACACCTGCTTAGAAGGAATCTATCTGATCAGTTTAAATACGACAGTTAATCCTTGCAATTAACTGTTCCGAGTGCTGATTTAATAATTATTGATTTATGGTTTGAGATTTACGGGGATTTTACTCATTTTATGATGACATTCCCATGGACCGACAACAGTTGGAGAACCACTGACAAACTCGGAGAACCGGACATTTATTTTGTCGTAGTGTGAAACTCCTCAGCAGTATTCACTGACAACCCCGTCAAGGGTTGAACCCAGAAAGATCAGATTTTGAAGCGAACACCTTACCGTCAAACAACTGGGTTAGGATTCAATGGTTCACATCTTCCTGATTCTATCAAATCATAACATTTTTCTTGAGAAATAACTCTGAACTGGATACCGGCTCTTAATCGAATGAACAACAAGAGAGAGTGTGTATATATGTGTGTGGATGGACAAACACTAGAAAATGAAACACTTGAGACTTCAAATAGACTTTTCCCCTCTCTATCAGTTTCAGCTGAATATGGATAGTTAACAAGTCAATCATTCTTAAGTCAGAGAAAATCACCAGTCTAGAAAGTCAACACAAGTCAACTCAAAGACTGTTTATTCCAGTCTAAGTATACTTTCAAATGGTATGTTACAACTAAGGAACAGTGAAACAAACTTCCAGTCTTCTTGAAGTACTGTCATATAGTTTAACCTGGTATAGTCACTTATTTGGAACATTGCCAAACATCGTCATTCAGGTTATAGCGTGAAGTGAGTGAAATTCAATGAGCTACATATAATAATAATCAATGCGTTAAAACACATTTATCATTTAGTGAGATTCAGAATTAACAAAATGCCAAATTTATTCCTACCACAACCCTAAAGGAATTTCATGAATTAACGATACATTATATATACTATTTTCACAAACATACAGATAAATTAAAAAATTGGTTAGTAAAATTATTCTGATTGATCCAATGAAGTGTAAAACTATCCAATAAGATAACCAGAATTCCAAGGTCAAACGAATGAAAATTAAACGTCTAAAAACAAATTCTTTATTCAATAAAAAAAATAAAATGCTGACCCAGTGGCTGGATGGTAAACACGTTCGTCGTGAAACCTGAAGGTCCTGGGTTCGATCCCTGGCTGGGTAGTGGGTGCGTACTTCTGTGGAGCGCCCTGATAGGACGGGTCAGCTGTCCGTTGCTCCCGGATTCCTAGTGGTTCCCTAACTTATATCCGTCCATGATGAATACTGCTTCCGATATGTTACTTGTTATTCTAGCTATTTCCTGTCAGGTTGCTTAGTACAACAATGAAAAGATGAAATAGAATGCAAATGGAGTTAAAACTGTATCACTAAGTACAATTTTATCATCATGTTGACGATTAAAGACTGACTGGAAATAGATCAATCACATGCGTTTCAAAATCTAAAAGAAATGACCAGCTTGTTGACTTTTTATAATTACTAACTAAGATTCCAATTCAGTTTCTATCATTATCATTCCGGTATAATTGTAGAACAAGACAGAATTCCTCCAGAAGTACTGAAAAAATAAACAGGGACACCGGCGGGCATGTTCACACCACTACTGCAGAATATTGGATGGAAGGGAAGAGAAGACACCTCCCTATTGAATGGAATACAACGCTACCTTGTCAAACTCCTAAAGAAGGCTGATCCAAGTCCTTACAACAACTGGAACTGGTGCGGAATCATGCTCCCGTTCACCACAAGGAAGTAAACTATTATTCCACATCATTCTGAAGACACTAAAAATGCTCTGCATTCAAAGTTACTACTGGAACATGCTGAACGGCATCAGGAAAAACAAATCATGTGTGGATAAAGTTGCAATGCTGATCATCGCATCAACATAAAACACAGCATGGAATGTCAGTCAACTCAACTCAACTCAACCTCAACTTCATTCACTTTGAAAAGGCCTTCAACAACGTCGACCGACAACTAATTTGGAAACTGATTCAATACCACAGTTTCAGTGACACAAACATTTAACAGCCTCATTCAACAGCTATATGCCATATGATGATGCTACATGCCAAGTGACTCACAATGGAAAGCTCAGCTCATTAATGCCTTTGAAGTGAAGTGAAGACAGAAGTGAGTAAGACAAGGTTGTCGCCTACTATAACCGATCATCTTCTTGATTGTGGTCCACCGGGCCGGACTGGATCATGCATCAAACTGTGAGGAGCAAGAACATGGGCATACACTGTTTGAGAAGACCGATGAAAAGACCAAACAAGAAGATTTGCATTTCACCGATGATGATTTGTGTATAATGTCTTCTGTAGCACAAACTAGAAGATCTACGGGTGAAAACCAACAAATTGACAGAAGTGGTAAGGAGAGGCAGGGCAGTGAAAGAAGATGGCACTTCCTCCAGTTGAACGTACAGAAGACAGAGGTGATAGATGAAGATGTTAAACCAACAACGACAACAACAAAAAGCACCAACTACCACCAGTGTGAGAAATCTGATGTAAGTTGTCTCTTACACCTACCCACCCCCTCCCCACTTACGCAGAATCACTTCAACTACAGGTGGCGGCACAGGCACAGATGAGGATATCAAAGCAGCCAGGGTTGCAAAGACAGCAAGACAGGCCTCCTTGCATTAGTCTGGAATAATCAGTGTGGAGATCAATTGCACTGCACTGCACTGCACTCAGCATAAAGCGTGAACAACATCCAGATTTTCAACAGTAATGTCAGTCAAGTGAGTCAGTGCTCCAACATGGTGGTTGAGTGACTCAGTGGCGCGTTACGAAAAGCATTTCCAACAAACTGCATAGTTACATCACATCAACAGCCACCGTCTACGCCCACTCGATACTGAAGATGGAGATGAGATGGATGGCCAGAATAATGAGAATAGGTAAGGAGGAACTGTGACTGGCTGGCAACGAACCAACTGATCAGGAACCTATCAGCCGACATATATACAGAAGAGAGTGGAGATGGATTGGATTGGATTGGTTTGGATATACATTGAGAAGACGGTTTGAGGACATCACACTTCAGGCCAGACCAAGCCGTTGAGTGGATCCCGCGTGGGAAACGACGAGTTGTGCTTCCGAGATGATGTGAGGAAGAAATGAAAGGTTGTGAGCATTGGCGGAACCAGGTTGAAAGGTCTACAGAGAAGAGATTGAAATAGTGACGTGCTACTGAATCCGTATGTTCCACGGGGAACCCAAGTGACAAATAATAACAACATAACTAAAGAACTTTGCCGTCCTTGAGTGACTACCGAAGGACCTTGAAGTGACTATTCAGACTGAAATTGACCAAGTGGTCGCTTTAGGAAAGTTTAAATTACTGAAAGGACATCACTGATTATAGATAGGCTTATGGAAATTATTTCACACTGTTTGTTCATTCTAAGAAGTTTTTGATGTATTTTCACTTCAGACAGTTGATATAATTATACACAAGAAGTTCCTACTGGAGTATGCTTTTTAGGGATGATACTGAAAAAACATTCTACTGCCTATTTTCTTGCTATTTTATAACTTAATCTTCATGTTCTATACTTTGAAATATATTGGTGCTTATTTAATGTTCATTGTCATGTACCCAATGTCTTTTTTCAAATTACCAAACTGTTATTTCTCAGTATTTCAACAGAAGTTCTCATAGAACTAACTTATATGTGAATGAGGAGTAAAAGGAAAGTATATTTATATTCACATCAAGGTTCAGATAGTTCAATGTTCAATACTCACTTGTGTAAATGTCTTAAATCTAGGCAGTTTTAATTTAGACTATAAGAAGCTGTCAAAAATCTATACAGGTTTATAAAACTCATTAGAAACTTATGTGTTTTGTGATTTTCTTTCATTTTTGTGTTAAAAGCCAAAAAAAAAGACCCAACAGTTTCTTGATTGGCGCTCTCAACATTATTTAGTAGTCGTTCAAGGATGGTAAAATTTTGCATTTCTACCATAACCCCCACTACTCTTTGAAATACTTTGATAGTGTTAGCCTGAAAAAATTATCTACTCTATTTAATTAATTTTGAATAAAATATCTTTTAAAAATACTCAAAAAATTTAATTTATCTTATGTGATACAAAGTAGTAAAATAAACATGAACAAAAATTGACTATTTAACACTTGAACATACCGCCATTTGTGATTTAAACCAATTTGAACGATCAATTACTGCGTATTTATCCCATTCTGATTTAGGTTTTGACTTTTTCAGCTAAAATATTTAACATTTAAAGAGAATTATTGGTATATAAATAAATAAAGGAAAATTGAATTCAGGAATAAAAATTGTGTCAAGAAAGGACATACTTCCTTTGTGATAGGTAATATATTTTATCTTTGAAACAGTCTGAAGGTGTTAAAACATTGACAATTTTGGTTGGTTGTGGCTAGCAGAAGAATCCAGGATGCGCGTATCGTCCTATTTGGGACTCGTCAGTTGGATATACCTGCACCCCAGTGATGTTGTTCCCAATGAGACCCTAACCTCGTGGACATTGTTCCTCCGTAACATAGTGGATAACGCCTTGGCGTCCGAAGCGATAGATACGAGATTCGAGTCCCAGTGAGAATAACATCACCGGGGGGTAGATTCATCCAGCTGACGAGTCCCAAATAGGACGAAACGTGCATCCTGGATTCTCCTGCTAACCACAAACAACCAAATTATCATAATTAACATTCAGGCCAGAAAGAATAAGCAACAAGGAGCTCTGGGAACGAACGAACCAAGAACCTATCACCCAACAAATATGCAGGAAGAAGTGGAGATGGATTGGCCATGTACTGCGAAGGCCGACTGAGGACATCACGCGTCAGGCCAGTTGCTCGAGTGGAATCCCCATGGGAAGCGACGAGTTGGACGTCCAAGGGTGACATGGAGGAGGTCGTGCGAGGAAGAAAATGAGAGCTTCTGGGCTGTCGTGGAACCAGGTTCAAAAGATCTCAGAGAACAGAAGTCACTGGAGGCGTGCTACTGAAGCCCTATGTTCCACTAGGAACCCAAGGGACTAATAATAATAATAATGATGATAATAATAATAATAACATTCAGGCAATATCGACGCATCCGCATAGGAGCCCATATGCCAGTACAAGTCGAACAATTCTATCCAACAAGACAACGGAAAATAATTAGTATGTCAATAAATAGTAAATTTACAATTTTATCATGAAATTCTTTGGGAAGACAACACACAGATAGCTCTGTCTTCAAAGATAGTCATTTCCTTGATCCAAAGTCATAAGTGTTTGTATATTCAGTTTTATGTCGAAGAATATACTTGAAAAGTGACCTGTTGAATACAGGCACAACGGTGAGTCTATATTACTGCGCCGAAGAGGAAAACCAATTTCATTGTTTAACTAAAACAACACACACTGACTCATCAAATCCTCAACTACAATAGCAACAACCTAACGACACACAAAATCAGTTGCGTGCAGACTCTATTCAAAAGAGTGAGAACATGCTGCAGTACAAAAACTTCATGCAGAAACGAAGAAAATTATTTTATGTCCATTCTAAAGAAGAATGGCCACCTACAAAACTTTATCACAAGATGCCTATCCCGTACATCATCAACTACAAAGTCATTGACGGAAATCAACAAACGCATCATCCTACCATACATAAAGAATACATCAGAAATCACAACAAGGTTACTGAAACCACTGGGTGGAATTGGTGTGGCTCATAAACCAACAAATTCCCTGCAACCACTATTATGCAGACTAAAGGATGCAATAACCAAAGAAGATAGACAAACCAAGTATCATTTACAAAGTCAACTGCAATAACTAACTGTAGTCAACACTACATTGGACAGAGTGGTCATTTACATGAACACCAATCGGCTATTAAAAGTCATAAATGACATTTCATCACTGATTTTAATGCACATGGATAACAACCATGGACATGAATTCAACTTGGACAGTGTAGAAATTTTGGACGGAGAGAGGAAACACAGAGAATATTAGAGAATTCCTAGAATCTTGGCATTCAGGTAAGTCACCAATCAATAGGTGTTTAGACATAGACCCAATCTATTAACCAATAAGAAAGATGATAAACGACAGAAAGGTCAGAGGTCAAGCAGAGGAACAGCCAACAGGAAAGTCTATAAAATCAATAACACAACAATCGAAAGAAACAACCAATCATAGACCACATCGTCACAGCAAGCCACTAAATCACTCCCGGAGAGATGTTGACAGCTCACTTCATACTGAAGTTAGTGCTGATGATGTCGCTGTTTAGCAAGACGATGAAAGCTTCACGATCAAACAACCCAGCTCCATACAGAACACAATACAACCAAGACCATCCACCTGAGCTAAAAATTACTCTCCATTGTTTCAGAACAGGAGTTGACTTTTTGGCTGGTTACCTTCCTCAAACCTCTATGCTCCTTGATGATACTGGCACCTTTCCTATTTGAAATTCCATTTCTTTAAGTCACCGATGATGCTGATGGCTTAAAAGACTTGAATTCGGATGAAATATCTTTCCAATGCATCTGATCACAAGCCAGATGTTAGCAGTTCTTCATTCTAATGATCTTCAAAATGATGAATTGGCTATAAAACGATTAAATGATTGGTTGAAACTGAAGTACCTAAAAAACTCTACTAGGTTGTAATATGTTTGTTACTGTACTCTTACTCAGAAACTGAATGGTAATATACCTGTTATTAAAAGTAAAATTTCTCATTTCTAACTTTTCACATGATTACACAATCAAACTTTATGCTACTACACTCAACGAAGAACGTCCATCCTTCTTTCACTAAGTTGTATACAACTGATGGTAAGCAGACATCTATTCTATGTTGGACAGTCGCAAGTGATAGAGTTGCTGTGGGAATCCACTGAGTGCTTACCAGTTTTCTCATTGTTGGTAACTTTCTATCACTTGTGTAATATACGATTGATCATTAGTGGAAACCACTTGTCGGCCAAGATCACATGGTGTGATGTCTGATACAAAAGAGCAATAATCTAATGAAAAACAGCTTCTGAACAATATCACTAGTTATCAACCATTTAGGCTGGTAGGAATAATCCAAATACTGGGTAGTTATATCACTCTTCTCAGGCTGAACTCAGTATTGGTGTACCCAGAAAAATTTAACTCACAGAGTCAAGTCCTTCAGATCAACAAAAACTATGCTGACATTATAATTATACAGTTGAAAAACTACTCGTTTATGAAGAATTTTAGCGTGAACCAAATCATTTGCAAACTGATCAACCAGTCACATTGGATCATTAAGCATAGCGAAGAATAAACCAGACACCAGATTAAACCTTCCGTTCACACAAATGTTGTAGTCACAATAAAGTAGGCGAAAATCCCTTAATTCATCTTACCTCAAAGCCTGATGAACTTCTACTTATACATATTAAACAATACCTTCAGATCTATTATGGTCATCGGTTACAAAAGATACTTGAATAACGATCTGTTTCACATTCTGTAGGTGTACACAGGCGATACGTAATCAGTTGGTAGTGGATTCGAACACCGTTACCCCCTAGTGAGGTTTAGCCAAACAGCTAGTATCATAATCTCTCACACAATAAGCATCCCTCATTATCCAGGGCATGAAAATGCATGTGCTTGCTAAAAAAGGAACCCAGATGGGAAACGACAAGTTGGGCGTCCAAGGGTGACATGCATAAGATCGTGTGAGGAAGAAATGAAAGCTTGTGGGCAGTCGTGGAGGCAGGTTCAAAAGATTGCAGAGAACAGAGTGCACTAGAGACGTGCTACTGAAGCCCTATGTTCCACTAGGAACCCAAGGAAAAAACAATAATATAATCATATAAATAAATTCAGTTTACACTGAAATGAATTAATGCAAAAGGAAAATGTTTCTCATCAATGACAATATACTAAACACTCTCAGTAACACTACAGTAAAATATGTGGATAAGTATCCGTCCTCATACTGTTTATTTCAGAAGGTTAAGATGGAGAAAGATAGTTTTGTCTTGGTCGAAAATTGAATGCATATCTCTGATGATTAAGTCATAACACATAGTCATACAGTTCCTCAATTTAAGGACTTTGCAGTGTATAATTATTCCCTCTACAGAAAGAGAATAATACTGAAATTGGCAAGAGTATAGTGATACATTGACATTCACTGGAATGATGAATAAACATGCGTCATAATAGGGTTAGAATAAGGAGTCGACAGATTAGTGATCTAATGCTATAATGGATTTGCCTCAAAACAACGCATTCATTGTAGCTAAGATCGTATGCCCAGACAGATGGGGATCTGACAGTTGTTGGAGACAGCTACTTTTTTCGATGAATGCTGACTCCAGAAATGCGTCATGTTTTCTGGGAAGTTATTTTCATGACGGATACCTCTGTGTGTGTGTGTGTGTCCTCATATACTCAGTCACTACGCTTCTAGTTTTATTTGAAGTCAGTCAACGTGAAGTCTATTTAAACGTAAGCTTTGCTGATTTTTTCATGTCAAGAAGGGCAAAAAGTACACAATGAACACACACAAATGATAGAAACCAACAATGATATTCACAACCAATCAGATTACTTTGAAGATTCAGAAAAAACCCTCAACTGTACGTTTGGAAAAAATACTGAATAATTTTGTTAACTGAATATTGGAGGGGTTCTAGGAGACTCGAGAAGTGTTATGTTCACTTTTAAGCATAATATTACAGCTGTATTTCACATTTACATGATACTTCCAATGAATACCCGGTCTTTATACCGACTTCTCCGTTTCCCAGTAAATTGATAGGCCAATGAAGTGGGTTATAAGGGTTATGCATGATTGACAGGTCATATTGTAAGAATAATCAGAAATGTCTACATGCAAACTTGAGAAGACTTTTTCCACCAAAATGGAAGTCGAAGTTCGTTTCACTAAACTCGAGAGAACCCAATCCAATCCCTTTTGAATTAATAAGTTACACAAAGTAGTCATTCCCTGTAGATTTAGGCTCTAATAAGCCCTTATCTACACGAAATTCTAATGATGATATTCTGCATTGAATTGCCTAAAAACTTGAAAATACCTAACAATGCACGGTTACTTAATAATGTAAGTTTATGATGATAAGGTATCATTTTAAGTGTTCTACTTAATAAAATGAATGAAACAGACTTTTGAGCAGAAACCTAGAGAGTTGTGATTTGCATAACCAGTTAGTGACAGTATATATGAGTT